ACCTATTAATCTGTAATTTTAAAAACTTTCCAAAAAAGAAATCTCCTGGCCAATACTAGACAATCACATTAAATATTTGAAGTAACACAAAACTTTACATAATCCATCATCTGTTCCATAAAACTAAAGATGAAGGAGAATATCTCAATACATTTTATGATGTTGGCATTACCTGACACGAAAACCAAAAAAAATAAAAATAAAAATAAAAAAAGAAAGGAAGAAAAAAAAGAGAATTGTACACTAATGGTTCTCATGTTTAGTTATTAAAAATAATCATTAACAAAATATTAGCAAATTGAATTCAGCAATACATAAAAGAGAAATTTCTTTCTCACTATTGAGTTTTTTGGTACGTTTTAGGTATACAGTACAGTTACATTCATCATTGGGATCTTGTACCTTTACATGGCAGGTCCCAGTTCTCATTTTTTCCCCTTACCTCTTTATCCCCTCCTCGCTTCCTTATTTACAAATATTTTATTTCCATTTTTTCATTTTCTCATATTTTTTTCTTTTCCCTTATTTCCTTTCTCCTAACCTTCCCACTTCCCCTATACCTTTATCCCTGATCTTATGTACAATTATAGTTTTTCACACCAGTAAAACTATTCAGTATTTATACATGTATGACTTATTTATTTCACTTGAGTATATCCTCAATATGCATCCATTTTCCTATGAATGACTCTAATTTCTCATCCTTTATGGCTGAGTAGTATTCCATATTATAGAAAAACCACATCTTCTTTATCCAGTATCCAACTGATGGGCAAATGGGCTGTTTCCAAGTTTTAGCTATTACAAACTGTGCTGCTATAAACATGGGTGCACATATATCACTGTGGTATGATTCTTTTAATTCTTTTGGAAAGATACCCAGCAGAGGGATGGCTGGGTCAAATGGAACCTCTAATCCCAGTTCTATGAGGTATCTCCATATTGATTTCCATAGTGGTTGCACCAGTCTGCACTCCCACCAACAATAGAGAAGGGTTCCTTTCTCACCACAACCCGGCCAACATTTATTATTGGTTGATTTCTTGATAACAGCCATTCTTTGTGGGATGAGGTGGAATCTCAGGGTTGTTTTCATCTGCATCTCTCCAATGACCAATGATGTGGAACATTTTTTCATATATTTACTAGGCAACAGAGACATGGCAGCAGGTATAACAATTCCCAATTTGAAACTATACTACAAAGCCACTGTGATAAAATCAGCATGGTACTGGCAAAGAAACAGAACTGAGGATCAGTGGAATAGGGTGGAAGATACAGAAACAACTCCAGATGTACTCAGCTACCTCATCTTTGACAAAGTAGCCGACCACCCTCACTGGAGGCAAGATAGCCTCTTTAATAAATGGTGTTGGAAAAACTGGATTTCAACCTGCCACAGATTAAAACTAGACCCTTATCTTTCACCATGCACTAAACTAAAATCCAAGTGGATTAAAGATCTAAATATTAAAAAAGAGTCACTAAATTTGCTGGAACATAAGTTAGGCAGAACTCTTGAAGACAATGGCATAGGAAAAGACTTTATGAACAAATCCTCAGTAGCATGGAAACTAGAAGAAAGAATCAACAACTGGGATCTCACCTTACTAAAAAGCTTCTGCAAAAGAAACCATCAATAGAACTAAGAGACAACCTACAATGTGGGAAAAAATTTTTACCAGCTGCTCCTCAGACAAAGGACTATTATCTAGAATATATAAATAACTCAAAAAAATCAGACTCCCCCCAAATATAATGACCTGATTCAAAAATGGGCATTTGAAATGAACAGACATTTCTCAGACAAAGAAGTAAAAGCATCAAATAAATATAAGAGAATTTTTTTTTAAAAAGAGACATATTAACTGGCAGGACCAAGAAGAGTTAATACCACACACAAAATAGTGGTTCAATATTGGAAAAAATCAATCAATGCAATCATCCATACTAAGAGGCAAAAAAAAAAAATCACATGAGTTTATCAATTGATGCAGTAAAATATTTGGCAAAATTCAATACTCATAGGTGATTTTAAAAAGTTTTTTAGAAAACTACTAATTATAGGAAGTTTTCCACAAGGATAAAAAACATATACAGAGTACCTCCATCTCACATCATCCATATGGTGGAATACAGAACACCCTGTGCCCTTAGATCTAGAATGAAGCAAAGAAATCCATTCACACCACTGCTATTCATCAGAGTGCTAGAAGTACTAGCTGCTGAAACTGTCAAGAAAAGAAAACATGGCTGGGGATTTAGCTCAGTGGTTCCTCCACCTGCTTTACAAGTGCAAGGTCCCAAGTTTGATCCCTAGTACCAAAAGGAAAGAAAAGAAAACATTACAGATTAGAAAAGAAGAAACACGTTTCTCCTTTTCATAGATGATATGATGCTATACACAGAAAATCTTAAGAAAACCATCAGAAAAAATAATTCTAAAACTACTAAACTGTTAACTAGTCAGAAGACATATCACAAAAAAATCACTTGTCTCTGCAGAGTAGCAATGAACATAGGAAAAATAAAATTTAAAAATACAGTACCATTTACAATGATCAAAAAATAAAATAAAATATTTTGGTGTTAACCGAAAAAATTATTTTCAGGATTCAAATGTTAACCCCTAGAAATCAATTATATAAGACATTAAAGAAGATCTCTAAATATATGAAAGACATATTACGTCAATGGATTGGCAGATTTGACATAGAAAATATGTCCAGTTCTTTCCAAACAGACATATATTAGTAACATCATTGCCACCAATGTCCCCACAATATTTTCTTCATTTATTTATTTATTAATGAGTTTCCTGAGACAGGGTCTCACTGTGTGGTCCAAGCTGGTTTTGAAGTCACTTTGTAGAGCAGGCTGACCTTGGACGCTTGGCAATCTTCCCACCTCAGCCTCCCAAGTGCTGGAATTACAGGCATGTGCCACCACGCCAGGTTATGATTTTTTCTTTTAGATATAGAAAACATTTTTCTAAAAGTTACATATATATATATATAAACAAATGAACAAGAGTGAAGAATAAAGAGGATGAATTGCTCTCTTCAATTTCAAGACGTATTACATACCTGCAGTAATCAAACGAAGCACTGACCGAGGGATAACACACAGACAAACAAAATAGAGAATCCATAAGTACCGCACACTAATCAACACAATGAATTTCTGAAAACTGAATAAATATAATTCAGTAGAGGAGTTTATCTGTTCAATAACTTGTGGTGACATAATTGGAGATGGGAGGGGAGGATAGATTACAATTCTCACACCTTGATTATATATAAAATTAACCATAGTGATTTAAAATGTAAAACATAAAGTTATAAAACTTTTAGAAGAAAATCCTCAGTAATTAGAACACCTTAACATTTCTTAGAGATACTCCAAAATCAGTCTCCATAAAAGGAAAATAAATAAACTGGTCTTCATCAGAACTAAAAACTTCCCATGTGAAAGTTGTTGTTGAGAAGATGAAATGATAAACCAGAGATCTGACACTCCAGAAAGTGTAGAGCACTTTTAATACTGTGCAGTAAAAATGTAAACTAAGGAACAAAATAATCCAACTTGTAAAACATACAGAGATGTTTCAATGACGAGGATATGCTGATGAGAAACAAGCATTACAGTGATCACTATCACTAACAATCCGGGGGTACAGATGAAGACCACAGTGGCCCGTCAGACTATGGCGCATTTACCTATTACACTTACTAACATAACATAAAAAATTAATGACTGCACCGGTAGCTGAGGAGAATAGAGAGAACTGAGTTTCTCAGATACTGCTGGCTGCAAATAGAAAACAGTCATCTGGAAAGGAGTTTGACTTCCCTGAAAAGAGAAGTTGAGAGCAGAATGGTGATGAAAAGTAGAAAGTATGACTGGAGAGAGCAGGGAAGGGGTGGGGTGGGGAGAGGTTAAGCAAAGGGGACTAAGCTATAATCAGGAGTACGATATGGCACAATAGGGGACTATAGATAAAAATAATGTGCCGTATATTCTGAAAACTTAGAAGAGAGGACTTTGAATATTTTCACCATAATGAAATAATACATGGGGATAAAGGTGTTCACTTTGTTTTAAACATCAGGTAATATACCCATATCAAATTATGACCTTATCCCCACAAATTACCTCAGTTTTAAAAGTGAATTTATATTTACAAGAAAAAAATTGAAAAAAGAATTTCAAACATCCATTCTAGCAATCATACTGCTGGGCATGTATCCTAAAGAATAAAATTTTATGCCAGCACAAAAAAACCTGTACACATGTGAATATAATCATTTTATTTGTATAGATAAAAGGGGAAACAGTCACAATGTTCCTCAATAGATAATAAACCATGGTACATGTACAGCATGAAGATATTCAGCATGAGAATAAATTACTGACACATGCAATACCTTCCATGAACTACTAAATCATTTTGCTGAATGAAAAAAAAAATCAATCTCCAAAGTGGATGATTCCACACATAATATTCTCAACATGACAAAAATACAACCATAGCAAACAAATTAGCGGCTGATGTTAGAAATTTGGGGAATAGAAATAGATATGACTATTAAGAAGATGGGAATTTCTAAGGTCACAAACTAGCTGAGGATCTTCACTGCCAGTTATACAAATTTATAATTGACAAATGTGATAGAACCACACAAACACACACACACACACACACATCATACCAACGTAAACCTCCTGGCTTCACTACTATACTGCAGTTATAAATTGTGATGAGTCCAAGAGATCTTTCTGCACTATCTTTGCAAGACTTTCTAAATTTGTTATTATTTAAAAATAAATACTTCAAAAACATATCACCGTATTGTGTGTGTGTGTGTGTGTGTGTGTGTGTGTGGTACTGGGCATCGAACTCGGGTCCTTGCGCTTGCAATGCAGGCCACTGAACCGCTGAGCTAAATCCCCGGCCCAACCATATTATATTTTCTACTAGAATAACAAACAGTACTTACTTCCAATATCTGGCCGCAGCTTTTTATCATATTCTCGTAGCAATTTGTTGAGGATAAGAGTCACATCAGTGTCTTGAGATTTTGGAGCTAAAACCCACTTTTGGTTTGATGAAGAATCTTCATATTCATCTTCTTCCACCTTTCTGGACCTGTAGTTATGACACGAAAAGAGACATATAAACTGCAGCAAGAGCTCTTCCTGCAGATTCCACGCCTTCAATTAGTCCTAGTACCATGGAAATGAGTAGAAAGTCCCATGACCCTAACCACAACTCTACATGTTGTATATAAAATTTAAAAATAAAATGAAACAGGAAGAATGCAGCTGCTATAGGCATAGCATGCTGTTTTCATTAAATGACACAGATCATTCCCTGTTCAAGATAAGCTACAGGCCCCTGACATGGAGATCTACATCAGATAGCAGCCAATGAGCCGTTCTTGGATACATCTTGGAAACCACTCAAGATCAAGGCAAACACCTTTCAGAGGTTTTCTGCGGTTTTCTTTCTCATGTTGTTTCCTCTCCTAGGGAAAAGACCTCATTCTAGCTGAAGGTGAGACTGCAACTTGCAGAATGGACTCATTGGAAATGTTTGGTTCTCACTGTGCTTCACTTGGAGACTGGAGTCTGTGGATGGAGGCAGACATGCAGACATTCTGAGGGTGCCTGCTTGGCCAGCACTCATGTATGGACAACAGCAAAGGTGCCAGTTGCAACTGGGGGACACCTTCTGGCAATTTCATTGGTCTCTGTAAACATGAACTGGATTCATCTGTTGTAGGCTAATGTAGACATTAAGAATTAAAATCTTTCTAATATGTCTTTAACATATCAGTTTTGGTTTGGGGGTTGTTTTTGGTTGAGTCTCACTATGTTCTAGGCTTGCCTCAAAATACATTCTGGGCTTTTAACAAGCAGGTCCCAATGAATGCCTGGACATCTCAGAAATTGTTTCATGTGTTGCTGAATAGAGTCTGCCCTGCTGGTGATATTCACTGACAAGAGTGTATCAATGGAGAGGCCTGGAGAGGACAAGCCAGTGTTCTCAGTGAGGGAGGTTGGCTCAGCCACAGCCCTTCAGGATTAGAAACCAGTCTCTTTCTCCCTAGAAGAAGAATTTACTTGCAAGTGGATTGCCATTGGCTGGGCAAGATAGCTCACAAAACAAACAAAACACTTAGATTCTAGTTTGTCAATGTGCAGAATTCGATGATATTTTTCTTCACAGAAGAGGAGAAAGAAAAGAATACAAAATTGCACTGAGGTAGATTGGTTCTGAATAGATATGAGCTCATTTATATCCAAATTCCAAGATAGGAACCAAAATGTCAGGGCCATGTCAGCAGATGGGTGCTCTGGGATGTATATTTTCTAAAGGAAATTTTGGAATTCTCTAAATGATCTAATGAACATAAAATTAATAAAAAGAACATTTCAAAGTTCAGTCCATCTGCTTCACTGAAATTGTCAGACTAATATATGTATTACATGTGTGTGTGTGTATATAAATATCATATATTATATACATAAACTGTATGAGTTGAACACTCTATAGCATAGACTAGAGCAATGGTCAGCAGTCTAAATCTGGATGAATATACAGTTATCGTTCCTTATTTGCTATGGCTCGGCTCTACAACCTACCTTCATGGGTACCAAAACCCGAGGATGCTCAAGTCAATTATAGGAAATGGCCATTTCCATTGTAATGTTAATGGATACTATCTTTAGATAACTTATACCAGGTACACTGTAAGTGCTATATAAATAGTCATTGTACAATACTGTCCAGAGAATGACCAGAAAAAAATGTCTGTACATGTTCAGCACAATTCTTTATTCTATTTTCAAATATTGAATCTGCAAATGCAGAATTCACAGATATGAAGGTCTGGCTGTGACATGTAGATGAGATTTTCATAATGAGTGAATAGCATATGTCTTGCAGAATGACTTCTCTACTTAAGTTTTTCTTCCCACATTACTGGTAAACTGTATTTCTATTTCTTAAATATGTCTTGGCTAGAAAATCAAGTTAATCATCCACAGAGCCTATAAATTCCTCTGAATTTTTATTTACATTGAATACTCACCATCAATAGAAATTTGTAAATAACATTTGAGACATATATTTGATAAATGATGTGCTGAATTTCATTATTCATAAAACTGAATTTTTATAAATAATATAGAATTTTAGACATTGCTCTAAAACATGTTATCAGGAGCAGTATCAGGAATGTTAATCTTGCCATTTTGCAAAAACAAAAAACAGAGAGTTTGAAGCATTTTGATAAATGACTGGGAGCTAAGCACTGCCCACAGGACCTGGCAAATGCGCAACTGTGCTGAGGGAGCTCCCTCAGTAGGATCATGTGACAATCTCAGGACACCTTTCAGAATGAGTAACAATTCTGAAAGACTAAACTGGGAATCAGATTATTTCACACTTCTGTAAAACCCATTTAAAGAACAAAGACTTTTTCAAAAGAGAAAAGTACAGCAATACAATTACTATAACATTTGCATTTTTTCAACTGGTATACAGTTTTGATTACCAACTCAACCACCATGCTGTTCTCTTGCTCCCTGCTCTAGCATTCTCATTGCCCCCCGCTCTCCCTGTCCAGTCCTTTCTACCTCTCCTTCCCCTCTCTGACCCTTCTCCTGACTTCTACTTCCTCAACACTGCAGAACGAGATTATGGTCCCCAGGATCTGTGATCTTCTCTTTCCCCAAGGGTCACAGGTGCACAGATTGCGCACACCCACCGACTCCTCATCCTCTATACACACAGCCTTAGTTTCTCAAAAGTACTTTGAGCTATTCCAATAACAGGTATTATAATGAGTCTAATTCACCCTCTAGTGGTGGGTATTTTCCTGAAGTTGCATAAGCTTCCTCCTGAGTGGCAAGGGCAGTGGAAGGGGGAAGAACAGAGAAAGGGGAAGAGCGAGCACTTTCTGTGACCACTGAGTAGGTATACCCGAACTCCAGCTCTTTGCTCTGACCATGGACAGAGGAGGCCTGGAGGCTCTTGGCCCTTCCTCTTTGAGCTTTGTGCTTCTCTTCCCATTGTGAAGATGCACCAGACGCCTTGCAAATTGCTAGTGCCAGACACCAGCCCCACAGGAAAATGCTTGCTGTGAGGAAAACCAAGTCTCCCCTCATGGAACCAATAGAGGGTGGATAAAACAGATTTTTTTTTCTTTTTTTCTAAATCCCAAGTGGGTTACATATAATCTTTAGCATTCCGTCACTTAGATTGCTGCCTCCTAGGCAGCATTACTGCAATTAGCTTTTTCTTAAAAATAAATCAGTGATGTATTGTCATTGTCAAACAACTACTCAACCATCAGACACTATTTACATGCATTACACCTTCTCTTCATCCAGAGGAGATAAAGCCTGATGTATTCTTAAACATTAAAAGGAGCTAATAAATCTCAGAAAGCAGCAGAGCATCTTTAATGCATCACGAAGGTCCACGTGTGACTTACTGTGTTTTGCTAAGTGTCTGGAAGGAAAGCTCCCCACACTCCAATCAGAGTAACTCACTCACAAAGCCTAACTGTCAAAGCCTTTTCCAAGGCTCTTCCCTAACAGGAAAGTATTCCAGAATGGAAATGAAAGCCCTCTCAGAATGAGTAACAGTACTGAAAGATGAAACTGGGCATTAGATTATTTCACACTTTTGTAAAACCCATTCAAAGAACAAAGACTTTTCCAAAGGAGAAAGATATAACAATACAATTACTATAACATTTGCATTTTTCAACTATTATACAATCTTGATTACAGCTGAGAGCCCAGAAAGAGAACATTTTAAAACCAGCACATCTGGCTTTGCTAAGGGAAAGATTTTATGTGCACTTGGGAATTCCCACAAACCTGACCACTTCTAGTGAGATACTGAGACACCTCCCCACTGAGCATCCTTCTAGAATGTTAATAATACAGATCTCCACAGTTGATTACCTAGCCTTGAACTGCTGGTTCCTTCACAGAGTTAGTGGCAGAGTTAGTGGCATGAAAAAGGTCATGTAGATGTGACTCCAGGCTTAGATGTTGTGCCTGGTGCTACTTGCCTCTAAACAGAGGAGCCCCAGGCTCAGTCAACCTCAAAACATACATTTCCATCTTTCTGCCAGCTTCCTCCTCACACAAGAAGAAACTCTAGCTGAAAGGTCCAATTGTTCCACCTCATTCAGAATTGTCTATGAGTCACCAGCAGAATTTACTTTCACACTCTATCAACACAGCAAAGCTGTAGCTTGGAGGGGAGGCCCAGGGTTTTCTTTAGGGTAAGCACTTGTGTCAGACAGAATAAAAGTAGGGGACCCAACCATGTCTTAGTATTTATTAGTGCATCTTCTTAGCTCCTTCGTGTTTCACAAATATGAATGCAAACAAAGGCCTTGTGACAGCAGCAGGGCTTGGAACCCAAGAAGATGCTCTCCAATTCTCAAATTCCCAGACTCAGGAAATGAGAAGTGTGTTGAGACTAAGGGGTGTGCTGAGATTCCAGGTCGGGGAGTACATAACAGAGAATCAGGAGATAATCTGCTTTGCAAAGTATAAGGCAGCCTGAAGATCCAGCCTGAGACAATTAAATACCCCAGGAATCTTCTCCTGTTTAGACCAACAGGTTTTAACTTTTCCTGCCCTTCCTGTTCCACTGCCCTTCTATCCTCCTGAGCCCTTTTTATCCCTTTCTGGAGGCTTTCTAAGTCCAGTTTAGGTTGTTGCTGTTCTGGTAAGAAGGTTAAGGGTACTAAAGGGTGACATAACTTACCAGGAAGAAATCTTGTGGAGGGGATCAGGGGCAGGGGGTGTTGTACAAACCACTGAGCTCCACCATCGGCCCCTTTTCTTTGTGACTGTCTTACTAAGGAGGGTTTGAACTTTGATCTTCTACTCTCAGTTTCCCAATGTGGTGGGATCACAGATGTGCAACACAATACCCAGCTCTCCCGATAGAAGCTTTAATAAAAATGTTAACATGAATGTTTTGTGGGGCTAGATGTGTGTACGTTTCTGTGTGAAAAGAGGCTGCTCGAGTGTGTGTGTGCATGTGCGTGTGCGTGTGTATGTGTGTTTAGGACCTAGGGGCAGAGTCCTTTCAGAGAAGCAGGACCCTCACCTCCCCCAACCCTCTCCACTGCCTCCAGCCTGTGCTATTCGCTAGGCTGGTCTCAACTATGCAGCTAGGAAACAAGGATTCCTGTGTCCTAGGAATTTTCAGAGATGGATTCCACAGAGATATCTATCAATATGTGTGTGTGTGTGTGTGTGTGTGTGTGTGTGTGTCCGCGCGCACAAGCCCGCGCAAGCCCCTGGAACTTCGCGGTTGTAGATAAGAGGTTGATAAGGAAATAGTACATACACCTCCTACCCTATAGTCTTGATTTTCAAACCCCTCCTAAAGCCACCGGACCTAAAGTGCCAGGAGTGCCCAATGATGTCCGGTCCTCCGTTCCGACTGCTGGGAGGCTGCAGCTCCCTTAAGGAGAGGCAGGTGGCCCCGTCCCAGGGAGATGGGACAGGTGAGCGGGAAGCCTTCCCTCCACCCAGCGGTGCCCAACGCAGAGGACGGCCAGCTGGTTCCGCGTGGCAGACAGTACCCCCGCCGTCCTCTCCCGGCTCTGGGCCTCGAAACGGGGCCCTGCGCCACTCACCGCGCGTGCAAGCCTGAGAAAAGGCAGAGCAGGAGCAGCAGCTTCGGGGCCATGGTCCTGGAGCTCCCGCAGCTACCTCGGGAGCTGGTCTCGTCCCGGG